TAAACTACAGTAGTATTAGTAAGTGCTATTACTACACTACATGTAGTAGTAGTATTACTAAATACTACAGTAGTATTACTAATTTCCAACCCTGGTTAAACATGATTGATCAAGTTATAAGGTAACCAAGGCTATTAGTACTTACAGCCAAATATCGAAATGGCTTGTGGTTAAGGCCTCAAAGTTAAGGATGCTCTCAATATATCGAGATACTAGTAATTCGAGAATTAGATGTTTTTGCAGTCACATCGGATTTAGTTATCGCACATCATACTGAACCCATACTCACAATAAAACAAATCCTTCCTCCTGTTTCCTTCTAAAAGAGAAAATAGGGAACATTGTGGTCTCATAAACAAAATCTTTTTGAGCTCTTTGATACGTCTCTACTATCATCGTAGAGGATTCAAGTTCTCGATGGTAACCACTGTTTGACCAATTTCCAACTTGAAAAACCGCGGCAGCGAAACTTTCTATTTGAAAGCCGGTTCAAGACACGAGAGCATCTCTGAATTATAATCAAAGATGTCCGAAGGGGGTGTCTCGGAGTGAGTAGAAGGCTAGTCGCGGGCAAGTAAGTAGGAAGAAGGGTAGTAGAAGGGTCGATAATCTATTGATTTATGCACCTTCCAACTCTCAAGAGGATCCAACACCCCTTTATATAACCGGAAAGTATGATATAGCTATCCTAAGGATCTATTGTGACTATTATCCCCGACAGAAGAAGCGTTAGTCCGGGTCAAGGTTGGGTTGGGGGGGCAAAAGGGTTTCAGTGGTAATCGCAAGTTTTATTCAATCCGCCATGTCAAAAGTGAGAAACTGGGAGCAGAATGCCTGGTTAGTATGCTATTGAGACTGATATATCCTCCGCAAGGGCAATAGTGTCCTAGAGGATCTGACTTGCGAAGCTCATTAAGGGAGACACCCGTTCACCTCCTTAACAATCAATATTAGAAAAATACTTAGAGACGACGGAGGTAGTCAAGTAGTTTAAGTGTATATTTACCCAGCGGTTCACCTATCAAACAAGGTCAGCGGGAACTGATAGCTTTACAATGACAAACGAAGCCATTAGGTTTCTACAGCAGGCTAACTATTTTTCATTGCTTTTCAGAGTAACAGCGACTCAATTCTCGCTTTCATGACGAATCTTGTGAGGCTATTATAAGATCTAGGAATAAAGAAACTAGAAATAAATAGTAAGAAAGCGTTTGGAGAACCCTACTTCTGGCGCTCATAACGTAGCACCCAAGTAGACTGGCAGGACACAGCACTACATATACCATATAGAGTCACGACCCTAACTTAGAAGATGACGAGGCAAAGGAAGTGCTTGTAAACTAGTAAATGGAGGGGGAAACGACAGAAACACACACAGATAACTCAGGAATGCATCACTAATGACAAGAAACGGAATGACGCTTATTTTAGATATCACCTCGTTACTATGATAATTTCCAACGAGGGTCATGCTGCTTTAATCCGATCAGCAAAACAAGCACATCGATTGCGAGGATCTCTATAACTCATGAATTATCCAAAGGTTGACAGTCAAAGTGTCCACGTACTCAGTTCCTACGAGCGATCCGTTCAAGCTAATCAAGCGAACTACAGAATCCTCGCAGCACATGCAAATTGTCTTTCCGCCGTTTGAATCGCAGGGCCCTGTTCGTATGAGCTCGCCGCTGTATGATAGTATAGATTTCCTTCGATGCCGGATAGTTTGCGACGTTCATTTCCTTCTCGTTGTCCCGAATATATATACACGTTACAAACCACACGTAGACGACCAGACATACTTGAAAACTCACAGGTCAAACGGTACGACCTTACAGTAGTCAGTAAATTTGAAATATACAAGCAACTATTTGCTTTCTTTCTATGTACAAGTTATCTCAAGTTGCCATTTCCCCGTTCTATGCAGTATATACCGTTGTAGATTACATGTACGGTCCTGGTCCCAAAGATGATTCTATCGTCAACCTTTGCATCTCACGTATTATAAATCCAGTTACATAATAAATATACAATGGAGAGAAGATCCCAGATTTTCGTCTTAGGGCCTCTCGTTGTCTTGTCTCCTCAACTCATCACGGAATGCGTTTCCAGTGGTCTGGTTGTTACGTCCCTCCCCCGCGCCGAAATCCATGCGTCGGTCTTCAGTCGGGGTACTGGCCAGACTGCCCAAGGCATCACTGTCGCGCCTGGGTCGGTCAGCGGGGTCGGGAAGGTCGCGGTAGACCTCGCCGCCCTCGGCGTGGATCTCACGCTCCATCAGCTGGATACGCTCATTTGCCTTGGCCTTCTTGTTTCGTCCGCCGAGGCCAAGACGTGAGCGAACACCCCTACCCTTCTTGGTGACGTTGTAGTTACGGCCCATGGCGCTCTTGAGTTCGATGCGGCGATGATGGCGATTGTATATACATGTGCCGATGACACAGGCAATAATGAAGCCGAAGATCGTAGGGATGGCGATGTACACGGCGGCACCCACTGGTGCCTTGTGATGTGCATCCGCGACCGGCCCGGGGCGGGTTGTGACCTTGATCTGAGGACCAGACCTTTCAACTCTCTCGCCTTTGACTACCCCAATCAAGCTGAGGCTGATATTCTGGGAGCCTTGGCCCCGGAGGTGTTCGCTCTTGATGGGGATTGTCAGGTATCCGAAGCGGGCCATAGTGTAGGCTGAAGTGAAGGCAGGCGATTCGGTCTCGACTTCGCCGGTGGTCTTGTTGATATGGTTGCCGATGATTTGTAGGGTCGCGTTGGGGGCGGAAAAGTAGGTAGGATCCCACGTAACTGCAATGCATTAGCTGAAGTGCTCCTCTAAATGAATCACCCTCTGTCTTTCGACTGTCATCTCGGGGGTGGCGTACAGTAGTAGGTAGTGTCCACGTAAAGGGTCGAGTTGACCTCTGGGCGACACCAAGGAGCGAATTCGCCGTCCTTATTATTACAGACTCCGAAGACACCAGTGCTGTTGGAATTGGCGGCGGCAGTAGGGCCAGGGGCGGCACCGGTGCTAGTAATGACCTTGCCATAGCTTGTGTAGGTGAAGACGGTAGCCGTGACATCGTGGGGAGCGCCGGATATGACGGTCGGTGTACCTGAGATGGTGCTTAGGACGGGAGTGACGGTCGAGGGTGTACCGTCATCGTTGACAGTGACCCAGGGCTCCAGGGCGGCATCCGTAGCGTCAGCGGCGTCTGCAGCCCTCGGCTGATGAGGATTTGGGTTTGGCATGGCGTGGACAGCAGCCAGCAGCAAACTTGCTGCGGCCATGGAAGTGAGCTTGTACATCTCGGCGGCGTCCTCTCCTCAGCAGGGTTCGGCAGAAGGCTACAGGAGACCTGAAAAAAAGATGTGTGTGAGAAATGCTTGAGCTGCTAGTACTGACGGCGCAGCGATAGCTTAGAGAATTGTACATACAACTGTGACAATGATTGTTGTTGTTGGATAGCGAATCGAAAAGACGCAGTTTGACAAGGGGATTGTCTCGGAAGCTTGAAATGGTTGCTCTGCATAAAAAAATGGCGCGTGGGTCTCATTACCTGCATTAGGTCCCTTAGGTACGGAGTACTAAGTCACTACAAGTACATCACTAATGTCTGCTACAGGATATCTGGCACAGTGGTGCCGGTCGCTATAGGTATAGCAGATTAGCCGCTACATATTCGGCAGTGACGGCCCGCCAAGAACGGATACAGTGGATCGCCGGCCGTGTTTAACGACCAATCGTGTCAAACTAGCCCCTGATTTAGCGGAGTGCTACCCCCTGTGCCGTCCACTACGGTGCCCACTGCGTCCCACGATTAGTGCATCTCTTGGCTGGTCGGGACCTGGTAGCAGACTGGTATCAGACTGGCAGCTTGGACGACGACATCTCTCTCATTCTTGACAATGATAAAAACAGCAACGACAATGTCATATTCCATTTACATGGTATTAGCATTAATCCTTCAACGCCGTTGAGCGTTTATTCCTTGTAGCAGTCTCTCTTTTATTCCCCCGCGCTAGGATGCGTTTCAAATCCCGCAATTAGTCCTTCTCATTCCTGTATCATACCATGATCCTCCTACTCTAGGATTGAAAACCGCTGTGAATGCCCACCGCCATGAGGCCCCAATGCCTTTTTCTATTCAAAAACGCCTCGCCAATCTTTATGCCTGGGTCTCAAATTTGAAAGTATATTCGCATGAATATCATCCCACACATGTCCGCCAAAACGCCTAGCATGATGCACTCTCGCTCTTGACCAAAACGCCATAAATCTTCCTCTTCTTAAATCCCTCAATATCTATGCGCCGTAGCGCTGACCGTGGGCATGTACGCCCATAAGTAAGTAACCGGCCCCGTCAAACTTGTCAGATACGGCATACCGGTACGCTGTCGTGACAATCCGGTTCAACGGCGGCATCATGGCCGGTTCCCGTATCCCTTAACCACGGGCGGCCCAAGCAGATCCGGCTGTTCAAAGCCCCACCCCTCGCCGGCCTCGGTCATGTATGGTCGTAGTAAACCCGCTTCCCTTCCCGTCGTTTCCCATTTCTGTGCCGCCCCAAGCGACCGCTGCGTTATACAACGCTGCCTGTCCATAGCCACTTTGTCCGCTGCCGTGTATCTAACCGTGTTTTTGGCGATCTGCTCCGTAAGCAGGCTTCGGCGTGGTTGTGCGCGGGTTGGCACCTCCATTCTTTCTAAGAAGGTAGAGTCGTCCACCGCCGGGTAGCGCTTGAGGGGATGTTCCTCCATTATCAAGGTGTCGTCGAAGTCGTCATCAGCATCGTCGTCGTCGTCGTCGTCGTCAGAACATTCCCAGTCATCGATAGAACTTTCGCTTGCGGTGTTCGTGATGACCGTATTAGCCATAGTGATTTCTTTTCGAGGTTTCTTGAGAGCCCCTTGCTTTTTCGGGCCGGGCGGTCTGATTGGGACGGTTTGTTGGGAAATTTGTCCTTTAGGCTTGGGTCGATGCGATGTTCCCCCTTTGAAGCGTGTGCGACATCTCTCGTCGTGTGGCTTCACTGTCCTGATCATCTTGGGGCTCGAAGGCTTTATCGCCTCCTCTTCCTGGTGCTTGGGAGCAATAGCACCGCTCAGAGCTTCGCGGCGCTCCGGCTCTGTCGTATTATGGTCATGCGTGATCTGAGATTCTGATCGCGCAGGAGTGTCGATTCGCGTAGCTTTCGTGAGCCGGGGGTCATAACGACCAGACATGAGGCGGAGGTAGCCCTGGTACCGAGCCGCTCGCCTGGTTGCCGCTCTCGTCCATGCTGACATGTAACTCATTTGCTGTGTTAGCTCTTTTGATGCTTTAGTATGAGGGGTTGTTATGGTCTTACGAATCCATCATTGACGGTGATGTGATTGATTGGAATATAGCTTCGTATGACGATGCTTGTCTTGTTACTGCAAACTGGCCAAGTGCCGGACTTGACTAGTTTTCTTAGAGGTCTTGCGGTATAGCGCGCTGTCAGGACTTCGATATGATGGTAGATATTAAATGCCAGTCTAAAGTGCAAAGAAATGGTGGTAGATATACAACGTATTGATGTGAGATGGGCTTAGTCGTCGTGAAGCTGGATGTTGTTACAGAAAGGAACAAGCCCGAACTGGAGTTCCAAGGAAAATATGTTGACATGTTGTTCTCATATTTTTTTTTTCTCGCGACGCTACTATTTATAAGCATCGCTATCTAAGTTGATAGATTTGGTATTCATCTTGAAGTACCAGCATCGGTGCGAACCTTAACTCAATTTATCTATGTCGCCATATATAGAATCGCAATTAGCTTCAATTTCACGTCCACATTTGGCTTCGAGCTGGGCAACGCTGAAAGCTTATTCGGATGGCCCAAGATCTCGCGAGCTTGCTGGATTGGGCGGCCAGAGATAATCACAGCAGCCAACCGGCCACAACTATGCCTATGGTTGCTTCTGGTGAAGTGGGAGTCGGATATGATGTATCTGTTCACTCATGGGAGAGAAGACAAAGCGAGGGCAGTATCACATCAATGGAACTATTCTTGGGATTTACTCGAAAAACGTTAACCGGGGCTCACTTCATGTTCGAACAAATTTAGGCCTGAAAGTGATATCTAAACCGGTAATGGTGATTCTTATCCTGCTGATGAATACTAAAAATCTGGGATTATTTCCATACTCAAAGGCGAGTCAGTCTTCATCGCAAGTTACACGGTCAGGATTTTGCTTTCATACAACTCTTCTATAATTTTTCTAGTCACGCGCCAACATCTCCCACAATGTTTTCATATGAAAGAAACTCAAGTCCAACTCAAGCTCGTTTCGCTATGCTTTCATCAACTGTCTGATTGACTGATCAATTGTGAGACTCAACAATCCTTCTGAATAGTACCCCCGGCGCGGGGGCCAAGGTTCTTCGGCAGCCGGCAGCGCTCTGGCAAAATATCTTGCAAGTGGCACGACAACCCCTTTTTATGGCGCAGCCAGCACTTCCTTCCTTCTTTACCGTCAATCTACTCAATATTGCCTCAATGCCCTTGGTTCACTTTACCCAGAATCCAAAATATGTCAAGTATATTCCTTCAGTGCCCTCTCCAAGGGAAACCTTCCATTTGTGCTTGAGATAATCTGCCTCTCCCTCGCCGTCCCGCATCCTTCCTTGTGCCTGCCTCGGTCAGCAACTCTCTCCTGCTTCGGCCTCCCTCGCTGTTGGTCTTTCTACCTGCAGGTAGTTTCGGTCGTAAGCCAGCTTTCGTTAAATAGAGTGGGAGCCCGAATTGATCGGATACATCTGTGTGAGATTGACGCTGTTTGCCTCTCAAGTACCTAGTTGCTTGGAAACATCGCGTACAGGGGGGGGGGGGCGCGGGGGGGGCGGGGGGGGGGGGGGGGGGCGGGGGGGGGGGGGGGGGGGGGGGCGGGGGGGGGGGGGGG